GAAAGCGGCCGTCGCCCACTTCGCACAAAAGTGAAAGTGCGTCAGTCCTCCATCTTAGCTCGACCGGAAGCCCAATACTCTGCATTGTTTGATAGGATTGTCAAGAATAGTCCAACGGGCAATTTTAGTCTTTTTCCTGAAGACCATTACTTTGGTCTTTAACAAAATAGTACATTTTAATCCTGCCCCTCCTCCAATTAGCTCACAGCAGCATACATGTTCCTCTCTTCCTCATTTTACCCTCTCAACAACCCTGTGTGGTAGGTAAAGAGGGTCATTTGCACAAAGTCACCTAGTGATCTTCATGGCAGAGTGGAGATTGGAATTCAGGTCTCCAAGAATATAGTCTGATACTTTAACCACTGTGTACTTGGTACAAGTTCTACGAAAGGTAAGAGAGGGGGGAAAGCCACACCCTGAAATGTTGCAAGCCAATTTCTGCATCAAGACTAAATGAATCATGCAGTCTGCAATGAGTAAATTTCCATTGTTTCTCTTATTTTGTGAAGTCCCTTCTGAATTTTTTAAAAACATTTTTACTTCTTTGATTTATTTTTACTTCCATGATTTATTCAAATTTCCCAGCCATGGGGAAGGGCAGGGCACTGAAAATATAATTCAGTTTTCCCTCTGGCTTTTCTCTTATTTTGTGAAGTCCCTTCTGAACTTTTAAAAACATTTTTACTTCTATGATTTATTTTTACTTCTATGATTTATTCAGATTCCCCAGCCATGGGGAAGGGCAAGGCACCCTCTGGTGCTGTGTGTCTGTCTGTGTGTGTATTAAGTGCAGTCCAGTCGCTTCCCACTGATGGTGACCCTATGAATTAATGAACTCCAAAACATCCTATCGTTAACAGCCTTGCTCAGGTCTTTCAAACTGTGAGCCATGGCTTCCTTGATTGAGTTAATCCATTTCACATTAGGTCTTCCTCTTTTCCTGCTGCCTTCTACTTTTCCTAGCATTATTGTCTTTTCCAATGAGTCTTGTGGAATGTGACCAAAGTACGATAGCCTCCGTTTAGTCATTTTAGCTTCTAGGGAGACTTCAGGCTTGATTTGATCTGGAACTTACTTATTTGTCTTTTCGGTGGTCCTTGGTATCCATAAAAGTCTCCTTCAACACCACATTTCAAGTGAATCGTATGTTCACTGCTGGACCTCCTGATGGCACTGGTATTTCTGGCCACTGTGTGACACAGAGTGTTGGACTGGATGGGCCTTTGGCCTGATCCAACATTGGCGTCTCTTATGTTCCAATAACCAATATAAATTTGCAATATGGTCTTTAGTGCCTCTTCCTTTTCTAAATCCAGCGTGAACATCTGGCTTTCTCATTCCATACATGGTAACAGTCTTTGTTGTAAGATTTTGAGCATCACTTTACTCACGTGAGAAATTAATGTGATGGTCCAATAGTTGCCACAATCTGTGATATCTCTTTTTTTTGGGAATTGAAATACAGATTGCGTATTT